CCACTGTGCCCCTACCTTTCATTCCTTTAAATGAAATGAGGAAAGAGCTCCTGAGCAAATATGACAGGAGGGTTCCCCATATTTGGTCGTTGAGTCTCAGAACTGGTGAGGTAGCTGGGGGCCTGCATGCTGGGGGCCAGGCATTAGGAGGCTTATTCTGCCTATGGTATCTCAACCCCCACTCCGGATCTTAGGAAGAGAGTTCCTGTTTTAACAAGACACCCAGTGTTTCTTGCACAGGAGGAAGTCTAAGGTGTCGGTAAGGACTGTGTATAAACGAATGCATCTTACATTGTATATAAAAGAGCTTTCCAGGGACTTTTCCACTTCCTGCCTCCTCTACTACCAGGAAAGAAGGAGGGTGGGTTGCCTCTCTTTGCTTGGCATGTTATGACTGAATCTGTCAAAGATCCATAAGGAAACCTCTATCCTACAACCAAGAGCAGCTTCCCCAGCTACAGACTTTGCAGAAGCAACTGGAAAGGGGAGGCGAGATTTCTTTTCCTAGTTCTCCACTCCTTTGTCTGATAATGTGATTCATTCACTTCTCATTTTAACTTTCTGCTAGTTTGAGGCCTCAGAGAAGCAGAAATGAACAGAAGCCCCTTCCAGTTCCAGGGCCTTTTGGAAGGAGAAAGCCAGCAGGGGGTGTGCATGTGAGCAGCGCTGGGAGGAGGTGGCCCGCCTGGCAGGACAGAGCCTGGACCAGACTGGAGGGGAGTTCCCCAGCCAAGCTCAGGCCATTGGGCTCCACGATGCCGAACCCCCACAGGGCACACACGTCGCAATCTACCATGTCCCTGGCCTTTGCTGAGGTCGCCAGGCCTTTCTGCAGGCCTCCCGGTGTACCAGCTGTACCGCTCTTAGGCAAAGTGGCCTAAGGTCTCTGAGTTTCCATTTTGCTTGCCTGCAAAGTAGGGACAGCAGTAGCACCGGCCTCGGGTGGCGGCGAGGAAGGAAGGTGCTCTTGGAGCCCGGTCAGCTGGGCCCTGGAAAACGCTATTGACGCTGCTTTTCAGTGTGAGCACCAATATCCCCTCCCCGGCCCGCAGCAGAGCAGAGTCCCCGCCGCAGCGCGCATCCCGAGCTCCCGCCGGTGCCTGGACGCCTCCGCTCGCCGCCCCTAGAGGGCGCCCGGAACTCACGCGTCCGGTGTTCGGCAGCGAGGCCCGCACGGATATCTGCAGCCTTTGGTCTCAGGCTCCTGCCGCATCCATCGAAGAAAACCCGGCTGAGGCCCCTGGTGGAAAATGCGAGGCGGGGCCTTCCCTTCGGAGGGCGCAGGGGCGGGCACCACGCACGCCCACGCCCCACACCCAGCCCAAGCCCTCTCATGGGACCCGGATTTCCTTGGCTTCGCGGAGGCGGCGGGGGCCCGCTGGGTCCGGAACCTTGATACGATGCTGGGCCGGACCCAGGAGCGGCCCGGCGGCCCCAAGGCCAGGCTGCAAGCCGAAGCTCGGCCGGCCCCAGGAGTCGAGTTAGATCGTCCCTCGTCCTTCCTTCCGCAGGGCCTGGGCGACGGAGGCGGAGCGAAGGGACGGAACCTCCCCACAGGGGCAGGGATCTGGGGGCCCTGTAGGCAGTGTGCACCGGCACTGGGGGTTTGTGCATGCCCGACACCGCACACCTGTAGCTCCCTGTGTGTTGGTGCTCCCCCTAGATGTTGTGTAGCTAGAGGCGCCACCTGAGGGTCACAGGGCAGTGGAGGTGGCCTGTGGGTGCAAGTGTTTGTACCTACTCCTTGGCACTGTAGGGACACCCATATCCCTGCACCTTTCCAAGTCTGCTGCGAGCTCCTTGGAAAACCCGGTCTGGCTTCCGCCCCTTCCTCCCTCCCGTTCCTGTCTTTAGTCTCCAGGACAAGAAATCTAGGGGAAGGTGCAAGTGAGCAGTGCCTGCCGGCCAGTTTTGACCAACTGGGCCAGGACTGGTCTGGGCCAGGACATACTGGACCAGCCGGGAAAGTTGCAGCAGTTCTGGGCCAGGACTGGAGTGGGCCGCCGCCTGTAGATTAGGGAGGCCTAGTTGGGCCGCTGAGAAGTCCTCGGAAGAAGCAGGACTGAGGGACTGTGTGAAAATGGGTGCCCTAGGCAGATCTGGAGGGAGGGGCCACAGCTGGGGTACAGTACCAGGGGCTCCCTCTGTACTGTCCAGAGGGAGCCCTAATGGAGGAGTTTCATGGGCCTACCACCCACTTTACCTTCTACTGGTCACTTACACCACAAACAGGGCACCTGTCTGGATCCTGGGCCAGAGAACCCCACCTGCTGCCTCCTGGGGGGCATCACAGACATCAGTTCTCAGGCAGTGCCTCCATGGCCCCCAAGCACAGATGGGCCACACAAAGCTTCTATTATAGTTAACAGGTTGAGCCAGATTCTCTGTGCCTCCCACGGTCCTGCTTGCCCAGCCTGTGCTGGATGCTGCCACCGCTAAGCACCACTGGGCTGGCTGAGGCTCTGCCTTGCTCAGGACTGGGTGGGCAGTGGGAATTCGGGCAGCAGCACGGGCTCACTCCAGCTGAGGAAGGAAGTGGGGACTTTCTGCCCCGACAGGTTGGTTAATTCTTCTTTTCCTCTCCTTGCCTGCAATACTTCAGACAATCTGTTTCTTTTCTGGTTGTGATCAAAGAGCGATCATTCCGGCAGGCGCTGTGTAAAGCCTGGAGTTTGGAACAGTTGGCTTTGACTCTAAGGCTCATAGCCCCCAAGTTCCAGCTCCTTTGCTCAGCTGTCCCCACCCACCTGCAGCCCTGACCAGGATCTTGTCCTGTGTTCCCTGGGGCCCTGGGGTTTGTGAGTCTCCAACCTCTCAGCCTACGGCTGATGCGGGATCTGCTGAGATTCCATCACAACGAATTTTGGGGGGAGAGCTAGCAGTTCTGTGCAGTCCCTCAGTGCCATGGGTCCCAAGAGTCTGGCGCTGCCAGGAGGCCTTGTCCAGGGCCCCGGTGGATCAGAGGGCCGGGAGAGTGCGCCTCCCAGGCGGGGGAGTGCGCCTCCCAGGCGGGTGAGTGAGTGCAAAAGTAGACAGGCCAGTGGGGCAGCTCGATGGTGCGAGGAGGTCAGATGCCCGCTTCTGTTCAAGTCCTGATCCATCGGGCAGGGTCCAAGACCGACTGCAGGACTGAGGTGCTCCAAGACCAAGACCGACTGCAGGACTGAGGTGCTCCAAGACTTTGCAGCAAGGTTCTAAAGTTGGGGGAGCTGCAGGAGGAGTGCGCACTTGTGCTCGCTGTATTTCAGGAGAGGATGGATGAGGGTGAGGACCTGGGCTTTGGAACCAGTTTGCGGTGGTGGTGTTGGGCCTTCAGCTACTCGCTGCCTCTACCCCAGCTCTTAGGTTAGTAGTCTGTGACCACAAATTATCCCGCGTCCTCCGAACACAGCAGGTTCATGGGACCCGGGGACTCCGGAAGTTCAGTCTTCCAGGAGTTGGCTGCTGGGACTGACACTGATCCTGAGTCTTAAGGATGCAAATGGAGAAGACAAACCGGATCCTGCCAAGAAAATGTGGGTTCAGTCGCCCCATCCTGTCAGGATTTGGGAACAGCCAGACCCACACAGCTAGAATAATTCTGTAGTTTGAGAGGTCATTTCCAGATCTTTCTCCGCCCCAGAGACCCACTGCAGACTGGGCACTGCCACCAGAGCCTGTCCCTCCATCTCCTACCAGGGTGCTGAGATGTTCTGAAGAAGGAGGGCAGGAAAGACACCATGAATGAGGGGCTCCAAGTTCCAAACAGCTGAATTTTCCCTTGGGCTTCCCTGGGTGGGGGCTGCTGTGCCTGCTATCCCCGTATCACAACCTTGTATCAGCCTTTAGTGGCTGTGAGGGCAGGACTAGGACGGTGACTCTGGGGGTTTTCATAAGTCACAGAGCATAAACTCTGCGAGCCTGCACATGCTCTGCTCCCCACTAACCTCCACTTCCTAGCCGCAAAGTTTGCTCATTCTCCAATCCCCACAGAAAAGATCCTGTGTCCCAATTGGACTGAACTAATCCCTAAGCCACAGGTTCCGCAGATCCACCCGCATCCAGCTTCTTCGAGAAAAGAAGTCAAGTACCTCACTGCAGTTAGTCTGGTCAGGAGCGGATCCCCCATAGGCCAGGCTAACACTGGGAGCTGGAGAGTCCCACTGGGAGCACCAGAGAGAATCCTGGCTCTGATTCCTGGTCTGGTGAGCCACTGTCCCTGCAGCCTGCCAGAAATGGAGGACGCAGAGTCCCAGAACTCCTGGTACAGCAGGTTCCTCGTAGCACACTGCATCCCCACCTCTGATTCCGCCCTTGTCTATATTTTCACTGCAGAATTGTACTCACCCACCACCACCCATATCCACAGGGACAGCTCCCCAGTGACCATACCCCTCCCTACCTTCACTGCCCCAATTATGTCTCACACACACAAGTGCACGGCTCCCACCACAATGACACACAATCATAAACATTCACACATTTAACAAAAATAGACTCACAGAAAGGAGTATGTGCTTTCACAAATTCAGAAAATGGGTGACCAGTCACACAGAAAGCCCTGTCGGCACATGGTTACACACACACTGCCCTGAGTAACAGTTTCGACTTTCAGTTTAAACAGAAACAAGCATTTACATGCAAGAATTGCAAACCCAGTTGCACACTTAAACATAATCACAAACATTCACTATCAGTAACATCCTGATTGCCCATACTACTACAAACATACCACATGCTCACATACAACCCACAAACACTAGCAATTCTAGGGCAGGCTGCCCCTCTTCAAAGCCTGAGAGCGCTGCTCCCCAGTATCTTTTTTTTTTTTTTGTCTTTTTCCTTTTTATCAGTACCGGGGATCGAACTCACTACTGCCCGCTTGCAAGGCAGGCGCTAAACCCCCAGTTCATCTCTCTTACTGAGGCACCAGTGCTACCCCGGAAACTCCAGTTCCTCCAAACTCAAGTAGCAGCAAGATGTTAGGCTCGGCAAAGAGCAGGCAGCCCTGATTCTGGGTGTGAAGGGTTTTATTTTTCCACATAAATTACACAAGCACTTTATAAAATGGTACACAGAAAACACCTTATAAGTGCATAATTTAAACCCCCTCCCTTACAAACAGGATCTGGAGAATGGGTTGAGTTTGGGTGAAAACCTGTCTATCGTACCTGGGATGGAGGCCAGGTGAGGCTGTTGTGTGTCTTGGGCACTCTGTCACTCGTATTGGAGGGGACCATGCTGCTCAGAATGAGTATAGGTTACCCTCGGGCTGTGCCCAGTAGTGAGCGCCAGTAGTATCTAAGCCATGACCCTGTGTTGCAGGACACTCTGCCACAGGTCATCCTTTGTGGTTCTGGGGTGACATGGGGGGGACAATGACAACACCTTTGCATGGGTGCCTGGTGCAGATGCTGAGTGGGACACCATGGGCTTCTCAGAGCAGCCGTGGGAATCCCAGAAACCCTTCCACCACTATGCCCTCACCTCTTGGTCCCTGTGAAAACCAGAATGAAAGGAAATGCAGGAAAGCCGAGGGGCTCTGAACGGTTTCAGCAGGCATGGGATGTGTAGGCTCCTGGGCAGGCATGTCGTGTCCCTGTCCCCAGCACTCTTTCCTTGACTTCCACTGAGGCAGATCTGCAGTGGCAGTGGCGATGGTGGTGGCAGGAGTGTGAGGCTGGTGCAAGGGCTCTGAGTTCCCCTCCTTCTCAAAGGAGAGAAATGGGGACAGTCTTGGCCCTGGGGCCTCAGGACCTCTCACTTGGCCTGAGGTCCCCTTGGGTGCCTGGACAAGCTAAGCTCACTCGCAGGCTGATGCCACCGATGTAACACTGGTGATCTTGGTGGAGTCGTCAGACCAGGGCTGCAGGTTCTGCAGGGCGAAGAGCGAAGAGTTGTGCACGCACAGGGGGTCGGCTGGCAGCGGCTGGGCCAGGCTTTTCTGGAAGGCTTCCTGCTGCAGCTGCAGGAGGATGCGATTTGCCTGCTGCCTCTCGGCCTCCCGTTCCTCCGCAGTCTGCCGCCTGCACAAGGGCAACAAGCGTTACTTCGGGCACCTACTCACCCCCTCCCGAAGGGTGGGCAGGGATCCTTGTCGACATCGCTCCTGTTTTGCTGGTCCCATCACCAGTTTGGGGCCCATTAGCTCAGACCCTCTTCGAGAGGGTCCTAGACTCTCACAGAGTCTGGGAACCCCCAAAGTGGACACAGCTGAGGTGTCCCAGAGGGTATACAGCCATGGGAAAGCCTGCTAGGCTCAAACTAGGTCTCCCTGGCCGCCACCTCACGGGCAGCTGGTGTAGGCCTGCCCCTCTCCAGCCCTCAAGAACAGGGCGCAGAGGCAAGGGTCAGCAGCTAGCCCTGCCTCATTTCCTCGGCGAATCTCTCCCAGGGCCCGGACCTCCTGTTCCAACCCCATGCCCTGCTGGGACTCCCACCAGTACCAGCTTCCTCCGACAAGGAGGAGGAGGTGATCTGGCCTGCCCGGACTCAATTATTCCACTTAATGCTTTCCCTCCACCCTGTCAACTGAGATCAAACGTCTGTCTCTAAGGTGGACAGACCTAATGGGAGCCCCCGGGGCCTCCAGAAGCAATTTGTTGACGATCGATCGATGAAGATGCTTCGCGAAGAATAGGAGGGCGACAACCAGCGGCCGCCTGCCAGGCCTTTACACCCGAGTATCTCTCCGCCTCTCATCTTTCCTCCTTCCCTGCACTTCAAACTGCACGAATGTTTCCCTTCCACCGAGCTCCTATCTTTCTTTAGTTTTCTCTCATCGCTGCCCCCTTAGTTCTCTCCAAAGTAAGAGAATTCGTTTGAAACGAAAATGTTGGTTTTATCTCAAGGAATTTGAAGAGCAAGAAAAAAGAAAAAAAGAAAATGTTGGTTTTAATCATCTGAAGCTTTCCTTTAGGACACATACGATTTCTTCGGTCTGGCTTTTTTTTTTTTTTTTTTTTTTTTTTTTGCAGGAAAGGGGAATCTACCTTTGTCTCTATTCTTTGTGTTTCAATTTCTGTTTGCCTGCGGCAGCCTTTCTGTAAACCCTGGAGGGAGGAGGCTGGTTTGCTACTCTCCTTCCCTAGGCCGCACTCCAAATAAATCTTGAAAATACCAGCGACCCCTCCTGCCTGGCCGCCTTGCGCTCTCTTTCTTACCAGTTTCCAAAGGGCTGGAGCCGCGTTCCCCGCCCCTTCCCCGGCAGCAGGAATGCTGGTGGGGGGCGGTAGACTTGCGGGGCTGCCGCTTCCTTTGTGGCCCCGAAGGCGGAATCCTAGGCAGATTCCTAGCCTTCATTCAGAAAAAGAGGAAACTCCAATTCCTTCCTCCTGCCCCAGGCCCGCCCGGCCCGGCACCGAAGACTTCTTCAGACTCTCGAGCCCCCTCTCCCCCAAGGCATGTGCGTGTGTGTGTGTGTGTGTGTGTGTGTGTGTGTGTGTGTGTGTGGTGTGGCATCAAGGGTGAATACCCGGGGAGGGGGGTGCTGGGATGCCCCTGGGCAGGCGCTCAGGCGTGCACAGAGCGGGCTGCTTACGAGTGCGTGAGGGTAGGAGAGAGCCAAAAGCGAAACCTGGAGGTAAAGGTACACGTATGTGAATAAACAAAACTGAGTGTGTATTAAGTGTAGCTCTCACAACGGGAGGGAAAATGCCTCTCACACACACCCATCTGCTCCTAATTGATCCCTTTTTCAGTGGGACTCGTGAAACCCCGCCACAGCCGGCGCGGATTGATTTTGCCCTCTCCGACCGCGGGGATCTTGTGCAGTGGCCGGGCGCCTGGGGAGCAGCGGCCAAGGGGCCCAGCCTGGGGCCCGGCGTGCTGCGGATCGCTGGAGCACAAGGCGCAGGCATCCTGCCTGCGGACCTCCAGGACAGAGGAGGGTCTCCCGGTAAACGCAGATTTGAGCTCCCCCGCCCCCACCCCGTGAACCTAGAAGTCGGGATCCCACAGTGTGCTACACACCTGTGTGCCCAAGTGGCAGAAGAGACCAGATGCATCTACACAGGCGATGTGTTGTTCCGAAAGCCCTGAAACCTCTGGGGACAAAGGGTTTTCCAGCCCCACCCAGCCATGACTGCTTCCAGCTCCCCAAAAGCTTTGCAGGAGCCCTCTCCGGATGAGCAGAGGACTAGCGCGGCAAGGTGTGTGCACTCTCAAGAGAGGCCGAGCAGCCCGGGCCTGCGTGCTCACCTCCACTTCGTCCGCCGGTTTTGGAACCAGGTTTTCACTTGAGCGTCGGTCATTTTGAGCGCCTTGGCCAGCGCAGCGCGCTCGGCCGAAGCCAGATACTTCTGGCGGTGGAAGCGCTTCTCCAGCTCGCAGATCTGCAGGCGCGTAAAGGAGGTGCGTGGCTTCTTCTTCTTGGGGGGCGTCCGGTTCTGATAGGGGTGACCTATACGACGTGTTACAGTGAAGGGTGAGAGGGCCACTGGAGCGGGAGACAGACAGACGGCAGAGGCAAGCGGCAGAGCGTCAGGAGGTGTCCCAAGCCCGACACCCGCGAGTAGGCAAGCACACTGGCGGGACCCCTAAGAAAGGCCTTGCTCCTCCCAGCAGCCCTCGCTCTAAACCCGAGGCATGGAAGGGCCTCCTCCAGGCCTAGACTTTCACTGTGCCCTCCTTTTAGCCTCCCTAACCCGCCTGAGGCTCCCGTCCTGCTCCCCTTCAGTTCCTCCGTACAGTGTAAAAGGCAGAGTCACCAAGGCCTCTGACTCCAGGTCCAGACCTGCACCCCCAATTAGAGCCCTACAATATACAACAGGAGCAGGCCTGCAAAGTGTGTGTGCCACCCGACCGGCAGGCACACCTAGGGGAGCCAGGCACAGGCACACGGGGCCACAATCATACCCTCCCTCAGAACCCCATTCTGGCTGGAAACCCAGAGTAGGCCCAGTGCAGAGTACCTTACAGGTGCGTGCTCACACACATGCACACACACACCAGCACCAGAATCAGGGTAGCGCCTGGGGCCTAGAGCAGCTCCTGGTGTGCCTTGGGGTCATCTAGCTGAGGCTAGCGGTAAGCTTTGGCTCTCTCCACAGCTGCATGCACCACACACACACACACACACACACACACACACACACACACACACAGAGTCGCACACCCCTTTCACAGTTGGGCCCTGGCCCCCAGCTCCGAGGAGCCTAGCATTGGCTGTGCCTCCTGCCACCCCTCTCCTAGGCCCAGTTGGTGAACCCACACGCAATTCCCGGTAGCTTCCCAGCGGGGCAGGATAATCTTGGAAGAGTATGGTCTCACATCCGGGGAAAGTGCGGGGAGAGGGCAGTGCGGACCTGGAGAAGAGGCGGGGATGCACGCCTAGAGCGGAAGGTGCGGAGGGGAGCCGGGAGCGCCGGCCTAGCGAAGAAACTGTCGCTACCGCGGGCGCACTCATCCTCCAGCCGCTGCGGATCACTGGCCTGTGGTGCATTATTCGCCCCGAAGATGCCAGCCCAGCCGAGCAGGGACAGAACTCAAATAAGGTTCGCGGTGCCAGGCAGCTCGGCGCTCAGCGCTCGGAGCCCACAGTCCGGGAAGGTGCGTCCAGCACGCCAGGTCCCGGAGCTCAGAGGAGAAGCGTAGGCCAGGAGCCCGTTCCTCTCTTGCATTAGATCCAGGGCCTCACTACTTCATCAGAAAACGCCAGCCGGGAGGGAAGGGACTTTTTTTTCAGCACACCTCTTTCTCTGAGATCTCTGAGCCTCAAGTATTGACGGAAAGTGTCGCTGAAGCTATGGCCCTCTTCCTGCCGTCCGAGTTGGCCCGGGATCCCGAGGGGACCAAGGATCGCATCTCTGAGCAGGGGTCCTACAGGAGCCACGAGGGGCCCAAGCTGCGAGAACTCTGGGAGCCCGGCGATCCTGGGGCGGGCTCCCAACTTGGGAGAACACCGAGGGGGCAGCCAGCGACCCGGCGCTCGGAGGGGGCTTCGTGGCCACCGGCGGAGAGGGAAACACAGAGCCCGGCCGCGGCCGGCCGCGGCGCGCGTGGGCCGACTCACCTGTGAACCTGTCCTTTGTGTATCTGCGGTTGCTCTCCATCCAGGGGAAGGTGAGGCCGGTGAGGTTGTTGACGCCAGGCACGGCGGGCACGGCGGGCACGGTGGGCACGGTGGGCAAGCCGGCGGCCAGGGGCTGGGGATGGGCCGCGGCTCCGGCCAGGGGCCTGTGCGCTGGCACCCTGATCACTCCCGTGGCGCTCAGCGCGCCGCCGCCGCCACCGCCGCCCGCGGGCCCGGGGCCGCCGGCCAAGGCCATGTTCACGTTGTAGGAGCCGGCCAGCGGGCCCATGCTGCAGGCGCCGCCGCCTCCAGGGGGGCCTCCCGGGGGGCCGCCGGCCGGGCCGCCCGCGCCGTAGGCCCCCGCGCCCCCGGCCGCCGCCCCGGCAGCAGAGCCCCCGCCGCCACCGCCGCCGTAAGTGTAGGCGCCGCCGACCAGGCAGCCGAGGCCATATTCTCCGTCCTGCAGGCGCGACGCGGGCCCCATGCAGCCGCCCTGGTCCGGACTGTTGAGGATCTGGTCAATGCCGAAGCTGATGGGCTCCGCGTGGCCCGGGTGGAGGTGGTGCGGACCCAGGTGCTCCATGCCGCCCCCTCCCGCCCCCGTCCCCGTCCCCCGGGGGCCGGGGCGGCGGCGCGCGCGGTGCGGGCTTCTCAGGTAGCGAGCGGGGCGCGGAGGCGACGAGGACGGTGCTCGGGGCTGCGCCCAGACTTAGAGGCGAAGGGCGCAGAAGGGCTAAAGTCGGGGGAGGGGAGGGAGAGGGGAGCCGTATTCTTCCCCGCTCCGGGTTCTCCTTCCCCTCTCCAGTTGCTCGCGAGCTGTTGACTCTGGGACATCAATCACCCGGCGAAAAAGCCCTACGCGAGCGAGCCTCGCCGTTTCGGCCGGGTCTCTCCATTGGCTGTGCGCGAGAGGAGCGGGGTGAATGACGGCGCCGGGAGGGGGAGGGGGAGGCCAGGAGCCCAGACAGATGCCGGAGCCAGAGCCTGCGCTCGCTGAGAGGCCGGAGAGGAGACTCCAGCAGCCCCTGCAGAGAGACACGAGGGAAATAGCAAGAGGCTTAAAATGAGAAAGAAAAAAGAACAAGAACGGGGACCGGCCAGTCCAGAGATGGACAGCCAACCCAAAGAGGGGAACGTTAGCTGCCCCCTCCTTTTGGACTATGCCAAAGCAAGCCATCCTGTCAGGCCTCTAGGGACAGGTGTCCTGCCCAACTGGAGAATCTCCCCAAGGGCTTACCTGGGAAGCACCTGTCACTCAACTAGGCGATTTACTCCAACTTCAAGTCCAGCTTGTTAAAAAGCAGAAGACTGTCTACTCCGCAGGTATGGAGCCCAGGCCCCGAGGCGGGACGGTGAGTTCAGGCTTGTCCTTCTCTAAAACAGGACCTGTGAACAATCAGCTGTGTGCTGCTGTTATAAAACCCCAGCAAGCACTCAACTCAGGCACTTTAGAGAAATTAAGAACAGGAAGACTTCCTGAAAGGCAGGCCCAAATCTAGGATTTGGCTCAGGGCTTATTGCCAGAGTGCCCAGTGCTCAAGACACCCTTTTCCTCTAGGTAAACAGAAGTAGTTCCTGCAGTGTTCGGATGACTCCATCCTGCTCCCTTTGCTTTCCACCTAGCAACCAGCGCAGGGGTGGCTCTTCTGAGCAAGATGGCTATAACTACTGTGAAGGGAAGGAGTCATTTTATTACCTTTGGAATCTTGGGGAGGAAGTCTAGGGGCTTAAGATACAGGGGCTGTGGCTGGTGGGGCTAGAACCAGGGAAGTGCAAATGCAGGCCTTTCCAAAATTCTGTCTGTGGCTGCCTGGCTAGAGCCCAAGAAAAAAAGGAGGAAACTCCCTTTTTCTGCTTCCTCTCTCCTCCCTGTCCAGCAGGGGAAGGTCTTCTCTCCTCTAGGAGCCAAGCTTTGCCAATGCCATGGGGTATCATTACTGATCTATTTCTGGTTAGTTTCAAGCTCCACCTTTGGAGAGTGCCCTCTCTACCAGGCAAGATGCTAGAATGTACAGGCTCAGGGTTCTGTTTACCAGGTCTCACTGTAACCTGGTCTGGCTGGGTCTGGCACCTCCACTTGAAGAGATCTCCTAATCTCTGCTTTCTCCTCCTCCCAACACAACCCCAGCCAATGAAATATGCTCATGTTGGGTGACTAATGAATAAATGGTCCTTCCTTAAGAACTATCCAATGAGTACTTAGTGTGTGTCTAGCGCTATTCAAGGCACCTGAGGCCTAGCAGTGAACAAAAGTTCCCAGCCTCATAGAGCTTACATTCTGTACAGTGGTTCAGACAATAAACAAATTCAATAAGCCAGATGTTCGTACTATGGAGAACAATATAAACTCCATGCCAGCCCTTTGAGTATTATCCCTACTTTACAGATGGAAGGAAACGAGGCTTCAGAGAGGCTACAGTTGATATGGGTTAAGATAGAGCAGCTAGACTGAGCTTGCTTTGATGGATTGGCCTGGACACCTGCAGCTGACTGGAAGCCCTCTCTCTGCACAGGGAAGAGTTTGATCTCCTACTGGGACAAAGGAAGACATAAAGCTGGTGTTGGTCTGTAGACACTAGCAAGCTTAAGAGGGAAGAAGGAGGTTCACTGTCTTGCTAGTTTTCTCCTCCCTACCCGCCCAATCCAGATAGGAGCTCCGACCTTTGATTTCCAGAGCTTGCTTTAGAAATCACCTGAACCTGAATGAATCTCCTTCCTAAAAGAACTAAAGTAGAAATAAACATAAATGTGTACTAAGAAATCACTAGGTGCCAGGTACCACATCTCCTTTAAGACTCACACAGCCCTGTGAAGTTTGGAAAGATCCCAATTTTTGTCACTAATACAACTGAATGATGGCAGTGTTATCATAGAAGTGCAGACTGCTCCGTTATCTATCAATGAATGAACATCTAAAATGTGGGATACCCACACAGTGGAACATTACTCAGCCCTACAGACAAAAAGAAAGTGCTGGCTTGTGCTGCAGCACAGCTGAGCCTAGAAAACACCATGCTAAGTGAAGGAAGCCAGGCACAAAAGGCCAGTTATTCTATGTTTTCGTTTTTTATTCAGTGTCCAAGATGCACAAATCCATGGTGGCAGAAAACAGATTTGAGATCCCAGGGGCTGGGAGGAGAAGAACATGGGGAGTGACTCTTCTGGGGATGATGAAAGTGTGCTGAAACTGAATGGTGATGAGGGGTGTACCACATGTACACTTTTCGCTGCTGAATATTGTGGTGAGCTGTATCTCATCTTTAAAATAAGAAAAAAGATCCCTGTGGCCTTAGTCCTTTCTGGCTGAGCTTAGCCTGCTGCAGTTGGAACCCTGCATTTCCATGCCATCACCAGAATTCCTCTTCGCCACCCTTTGTGCCTCTGCCTGACCCCTCCTAACTCCTCAATCTGGCATGCCGGTGTCCAGGTTCCTGGGAGGAGGCTCTACTGGCAGAGGTTTCACCTTCTGGTGGCCCACTGAGATCCTCCAGGTCTTTTTAAAATCCAGCAGCACAGGGATGTCGTCTGTCCTTTTCTTCTGCCCTTTCCTGGACTCTCTTGCCTATTTGAGTCTACTTTTATTCCAATCCAATTCTGAGGTGCTGGGATTTTACAAGTCCACTTGGTTTTGGTTGACAATTGTCTTCCAATGGAGCACAGCCACTCTCTGTCCCCTCCTACAGTGATAGGTCATGATTGGTTGGGCTCTGGCCCCCCGAAGCTTTCCTGGATATGCCTGGATATAATCTGAATATGACCTGCAGGCTGAAAATTTTCTGAAATGGGGAAGGCCGAACAGCTTCTGTGCAGCAAAGCATCTGTGTGTCCAGTGCACTCAGCCTGCCCCCAGAACAGCCTTGCTGGGAACAGGATGGAGGGAAAAGAAGCAGGACTCAAACACATGAGCTGGCCCAGCAGCCTTCAACCTCAGGGATTGTCTTTCCTTTCGTGCTCCAATGATTCTGTTGTTTTGCTATCTCCACTTTACAGATGAAAAAACTGAGGTGCTGAAAGCTAGTAGGAAGGGGCAGAGACTGGTGCCCTACATTTCTGTTAGACTTTGTACACTAGAAGCTTCTTCCTCTACCCCAAGCTTGGCTCTTGCCTTGTCATAGTATGTTGCACACAGTCATCTAGGTGAGCCCCTCTCTCCTGTCCCAAGGCCACTTGGTAAGCTCCCCCAGCACCATCTCTCCAGCCTCTCAGAATACAGAAGTGCCTCCAATTAAAAGAGGACCAGCTGGGGCTGAGCCTGGGCTGGGGGAGGAGGAGAGGAAGCTGGAGGCTCCAGGGGGAGACCTCTTTGGATCCCACATACCCCCCTCACCCCCATGGGAGAGAACCCTGGGCCAGGGATGTCCTTTAGCTTAGGGGTATGTGTGGTAACTTAATTACTTTGTGTTTGTGGGCCTGTGTGTCTACCAGGGAGAAAGCCTGATGTGAAAGCCTGCATGACAGTAAGGGGGCGGGGCTGTGCAGATGTCCCAGGCAAGTCTTTAAGGAATAATTTTAGAAATTTGTTCCATGAATATTTATTGAGTGTCTGGTACACACTAGGCACTGTGTTAGGCTATTGGAATAGAACTGCAAGTGAAACACGTGTTGGTGAGAGGAAAGAGGGGTCTGCAAGTTTTCTAGGATTGCCACAAGGAGTGGAGGAGTTGGTGTGTCAGTATGAATGTAAATGAATGGGTGTTTTCAGGAACAGGATGAGAGTGTCTCTACAGCTGTTCTTCCTTAAGTGTGCGTGCCTGTGAAAGTGTGCAAATAACAAGATGTGTGTGCATCTGTGGGAGAGTGTCCTGTATTCCAGTATAGCCATCAGGGAAATGTGGGTTGGTGCATGTGGCTGGGGAGAGGAGACAGGGTAAGTCTACTGGGTATTGAGCAGAGAAAGGGCATCTCCTGAGAAATATGCAGGTGGTATATAACAAAGTGGCCCATGGTGAGGTCATGTGGGGTCTGCATTTCTAACACCCTCTTCCTCACCCACTTGTCTCCTTCCACTGAGGCAGGAGAAGCTGGTGACTCAGGGACTCAAAGGCCCAGCAAAGTGCATTCTCATCTTGGGGAGTGCTGCTGGGGCTTTGGTGTTCCTAAGGCCTAGATTAGGAAAGGAGACAGCCAGGAGGAGGTCAGACTGCTCCAGCCCACACAACTCAGTGACACTTCTTTGGGCCAGGGGATATTTTTAGGTTGCCCCATATGCTCCTACTCGCTCTCTTCTGTAAGAGACAGAAACCTCTCCAGTACTGGGGCATAGGTACACATGTCCCCAGTGGTGGAGTGACCTTGAGCAGTGAGAACAAAAGGACAGGACAGATTCTTCCCTGCTAGAGGCTATGCCTCTGTCACTTGCTATAGGAGACCAGAGAATTTCTCTTCCTCCCACCCAGTCCCATGATCTTGTGAAAGCTTCTGATATAGGTCCTTTCATCGTCCCTCAGCTTGTGAATGCCCCAGCAGCCCTGCATATGAAGCCAAGGCTCAGACCTCTCTCTTACCAGCTTCCTACCAAGGGAACTCCAGAGACTCTTGGGACCCACCACCCAGCCTGCATCTGGACAAAAATGCCTTTAACTAGGGAATCTCAGGTGCTGAGTCTCCTCCTAGGATGCCACAGCCCCAGCCAGCCAGGGTCAAGCAGGAGGTCAACTGAGAGAACCACAGGACCAAACTCCAAGGCTCTGCACTCCACGGACAGCTCCCCAAGCAGAGTTCAGTCCCCCACCCTGGACCCCAGGAGGGCAACTCAGCCTAGCACCCAGGACTAAATGCTGGCCTCTGATTTTCCTATCCTTGATGGCAGGTGAGCCCTGTATTCCACTGACCAGGTGATTATATCCTATGACTGGAGGAGTTTTGGCAACAGAGGGCACCTTGGGGACCTCCAGATGGAGAACAAGCTAGTAAGGGCCAGGGCCTGAGAACAACCGAGTCTTCCAGGAAGCACCCCACTTCTACTTCTGGGACCTCTTGGCTGGCAGACTCCCCTGATGGTCCACAGGGGAAT